GCCAAGATCCACTGGGGTGAACGACGCTTACGCGACACCAAGAGGCATCTAAATCTGCGGCCACCGCATCTCCAACAAACCATGCCACTCCGCCGCGTAGCGGCGGCGAACGGCTAGTCTTAAACATCTACTGCAGCAACCTGTCTGTCCGTCACACTAAATTGTCGTGCCTGTCACGCTTTTCCGGACAAATCATTGGATAAAATAATTTAAATATTCCTACTGGCTGCCGAGCGCAGCGAAGGTGGCCACGATTGGCCTAAAAGCTGCCGAGCGCCACCTTCTGCAACCCTGCGGGCCTTTGAGCTATAATCTGCCAACCTATTGTGCGAGCAGTGAAGCGAGCCCGTGGCGAGCGGAACGGTGGCAAAACACAAGAAGCGACATTCATTCTTACCCGCCGCGTAGCGGCGGCACTCGGCTAGTACTAAGTATACAGTAGAAAAAAAAAGTAAGTCGCAAGACAATCAATCTAATTTCATTTTAATTTAAAATAGTCGAGTACATGTACCGCTCGGCATGCAAAGTTAAAGTCCAGGAGATCTATATGAAGATAAATAGAATTATTAATACGACCAGCTACTTTCAGTTAAGTGTCGGCAGTCAGCGAAACTGCGTGTACGTAAAGAGGGTGACCGCCCTACGAAAAGTTTTCGATGAAGAAGTCGAGCGATTCGCTCAGCGTCGGGAGGTCGTCCGTGTCCATGAGCGCAAAGATCGAGTCGTCAAAAACGAAGGACGAAGATATTGAGCATGGTGAAGTGCCGACGACCGTTACTGAGCTGTAGTCTTTGTTATCCAGCTGCACGGGCACCAGTGTCGGGTGCTGAAGCTCCTGGACTGTCGATTCCGCAACAATCCTGGGCGAGGTCGTTGCTAAAGCGGGTTTTATCTCGTGGAGACTTCGACGTGCATGTCTGTTCCGCAGCTCTGGTGATCTACTGATGAGAGTGGGCAGAGCCAAGACGTCGTGATCGATGCGGTGCTCCCGACGGAGGCGAATGGCTTTGCCCGTGTGAATGCCGTGAAGCCGGCGGGAGACTTTCTCTTGGTATTTCTGTGCGTGGGTTTGAACTTGGCGCACCGATCGAGTGCCGATGTATTCCGTAATGGCTTTCCAGGGCCCTTGAGGAAATTTTTTAAGAGCTTCGAGAAAGCGATCGTGTTCTGCGCTAGACCAGACGCCCACTGCTCGCTTAGTTGAGAGCGTTAGCACAGCAGTAGCCGGTGTGGTGATTGGAGAGGACGTCATCAGAGCCGAGTTGGAAGTTACCGTGGTGTCAACAAAGAAGGTGTTCGCTGCTCGTTCAGCCGTAAAGGAAATTGAAGAATGCTTGGCGGTCTGCCATGATCTCCAAGGTAGAAAAGCATTGGAACCTAAATCATGACATAGACATTGGGACAGGCTGAGCCTCCTCAATGTGAGAGGAGGCCAGTCAACACATGCACCGAGACGCTGGACCACAAACGACAAAATGGTCCCTCCGCTCCACAATACTTGCTGTTAATACAGCAGCAATATCGTCGAAGTTTGTAGTATTTGCACCCATTATTCTTGGCCACAGCACGCTTTTGATGGGTCCGTTGTCGTCGTCAGTCCAGATATCGCCGCGAATTTGACCGAAAAGTCTTCAGCAGTGACCGACTCATTTGCCAGGGTTGTGGCCAGCGACGAGCTTGGTTCAAGTGTCGGCAGCAGCACCAATCGACTTTTTACCAGCCGAAATGTTATTAGCTCCTCGTGGCCATTATTTCCACCTTTTCCGTGGCCTCGACACTCGAATTAGCCATTTCAGAGCATTAGTCACCAGCCAATGCGAATGAATACGTTGCACTTAGATAAAAACATTGCGTCAACTTGGCCATGGCGTGGCTAAGAAGGTCGCCACGCAGAGCATTTAAGTCTGTACGCTACGCTGGATTCCGAAGTCTATTGCCGTCCCAATGTAGCCGAGACTCTGAGAGGTTGGCCCACTTTCATCATTTCGTCATATCACCAAGTCGGATGTCAATACCACGAAATTAATTTTCCTGTCCAGTGGACAGTGTCCACTCCGAACTTGTGGACGCGCACGCAAGCGTGTGTGTTAGATCAGTCATGCAACATATCAAGTGGTGAGAGTCAGGGGCAACTCGCACAGCCGCCAAAGATTCAATGATCGAAAATATACATGTAGATATAATATGAGACAATGATATTTTCTTTCAAATTTATTATTATTGCTCGTTATATGTACCGATGCCTCTTCTGTACTACATGTAATTATATGTAGTACTTAAGTACTGTAGTACTCCGATCTTGCATATTATTGCTTCTACTGTACTTGTATTATTTAAATGCATTTTAATGCCCCCGATTGCTTTTTTTGCTACAGCACGTTGTACATGGTGGGCCAATCCATCTTGCAACCCTGGAATGTACAAGCAATTTTCGCTCTAAAGCTTAAGTATTTAGACGCTGATATTATAGTACTGATGACACCTAGAATTTTTACTTACCGTACTACTGATTTCTCTATTAGTGTTTTTCTCGTCTCTCATTTACTGTATTTACTACATGCAAAATGCTGTGCAACCATTAATACTTTTCTTCAGTTGCAGTCTGCTAGTTGCAAGCAATTTACGTCGATTGGTGCTTCGTGCTCAAACCGATCGTTTCAAAATGT